TGCATTCCTTGATTCAATTATGGTAGCTTCATGTACATCTTGAATTTCAGACTTGTGTACAAGAAAACGATATGCACTACTATTATTGTTGTATCCAATAAATATGCAATCAATTGTCTTGGGTCCAATTTTCACTTGCTTAGGCTTAGGTGCTTCAACCTTAGCCAAACACCCCCACACTTTCAAGTGTTGGTAAGACGGAGGATGACCTTTCCATAATTCATATGGACTCTATTCCATTTTCTTAAGGGGTATCCGATTAAGAAGACTATTTACCGTTAGAATAGCTTTCCCCCACAAGTTCTGCGGTAAGCCCGAACTTAGCAACATTGCATTCATCATCTCTTTGAGAGTTCGGTTTTTGCGTTCAGCAATGCCATTCAATTAACGAGAGTAGGTGCCGTTGTTTGATGAATAATTTCATGTTCGGAATAGAATTCTTCAAACGGTGCCCCGTATTCATCTCCTCTATCACTACGAATATTTTTTTTCGTTTATCGAGTTGAGTTTCAACTTCAATCTTATATAGTTTAAAGGCTTCCGACATTTCGTCTTTATTTCTCAAAAGAAAGACATAACAATATTTTGTGCAATCGTCGATGAAAGTCACAAAGTATTTCTTACCACCTTTAGTTTGAACATATTTTAAATCACATATATCGCTATGTATTAACTTTAAAGGTATACTGTTCATTTGAATCGAGTGGAACGGTGTTTTAGCCAATTTTGCTTCAACACATATTTCACATTTATGGTTAGGATCAATCTTAAGCACCGAAATTAAACTTTGATTCATAAGTTTGCGCAAAGATTTAAAATTCACATTCCTAATCGACTATGTCACAAACAAGACAACTCAAGTAAGTAAACCGAATTTGAACTTTTATTCATCGAGTTTTGTATTGGTACAATAGTAAGAACGTACAATTTGAACATTCCATCACACATGTAGAGGTGTCAAGACGGACGGGCCGGCCATGACCCGTAAAAACCGGCCCGTGAAAACCGGGACCGCGGGCCGACCCGTGACCCGTGCGGGCGGTTCACGGGCCAAGGAGGTGTAACCCGCGGGCTTCGCGGGTTGCACCCCCACGGGCCGCGGTTAACCCGCGACCCGTAAAAAAAAATTGAAA